AGGTGCTCTTGGTAAGGCAATATATAATCATTTCCAGCTACATCATAACATATCTGGATACTAGGAGATTTTTACTTTGAATTTAGAGTCAAACAGGACTCTAAATATAAGCATAAAACTTCATATTGGAATAATAGCTGAAAAAAAAAAAAAAAAAAATCTGGATACTAGGGGATTTTTAGTTTGAATTTAGAGTCAAACAGGATTCTAAATATAACCATAAAACTTCATTTTGGATAATAACAAACTGAGATGACTTTGTAATTTTTAACTTTTATTGGTTAAGAATGTTTGTAAAAAAGAAAAATTGCAAAATGATAGGCATAAATCAGGAAAGATAAAACACACCTACATATATGCATGTAAATAGTAATTAGGCAAATAAACTATAATGTAAGAGACTAAGAACATTTTCAGATATTGATTGTTGTTCACAAGAAAAACCTCAAAATATGCAGAAAATAAAAATAATTATGTATTCAAAATGACTGTGCTCTTTCTCTTCTTCTTCCTCCTCCTCCTCCTCCTCCTCCTCCTTCTTCTTATTCCAGTATGGGGGATCAAACTCAGGACCTTGTGCTTGTGAGGCAGGCATGCTGCCAGTGAACTAAATCCCCAGCTTTCTTTTTCTGATTGAATAAATACTTTCCATTTCACTCAGGATAGCAGGCCACATTATGTGAGAATTCTACCAAAACTCAATTGAACATGAAAGCTAAAAACATCACAAGTAGTGTAACACGCATAGTTGGTTCAAAAAGAAAGGAAGAAAAATCAAATGAACAGGAAGGAAAATAAAAGTTGAGAGGTAAATAACTGCTCTTGCCCTCATCAATATTTATCCTTGATAGACAAAAGGGTTAATAGCTGAGAAGGAAGCATCATTTAGATTATGTGAAGAGGAGGTAGGAACTGAGGCCCCGTGTTTTTGAATGACATCTTCATTAAGGTGTGTAATAAAAACATGTATTCTATGAATGACTAGATCACACCATGGTCATTGGTCTTTACCTAGACTATGTGTTGAGAAAACTATTCCTTTTCTGATATTTCACAAGCAAAGGAAGGCTAATACACATTGTTAGAGTTAAAATTCTCTTCAGTTTCAACATTTACTTTCTAGTCAAGCACAGATTCTCTCACCACAGACAAGGTCAAGTTTTTCCAAAATATTAAAACTCCAAACGGCATAAGATCTGATAAAATTATAGGCACCAAAACTTTAGAGCACTTCTGGGTTACCTAACATGAAGATTCATCCAACCCTGTTTAGGGCAACACAGAAGAGTCAAGGGGTTGGGTGTGGGATGCGGCAACAGAAAGTTAGCTTCACTGTATGGATTGAGGATTTGGAAATCAGAAAGTGTGATAAATAAGCTATAAGGAACATTCAGAATACCTTAAGAAAATACCAGGGACTGAAAAGTGTAAACAACAGAAATTAATTTCTCATAGATCTGGAGACTTTAAGGTCAGATTCCATGAAGACCCTCGTTAGGATCAAAGTTGGCTGACTCTTTGTTTCTCCACATGATAAAAATGTGCAAGAGACCTCTCCAGGGTTCACTTTAGAAGGAAACAAATCCCATTCATGAAGCTTCTGTGTTCCTCATCTAATTATCTCCTGAATGCCCCATTTCCTGAAAGTCTGGCTCTGGAGGTCAGAATATCTATATATTCATTTTGAGGTGATGCAGACATCGAGTTCACTGAAGACACTATTTTTATTTCAGCATGAAATTGAACTTCATTAACAACTTTGATTTTTTAAAAATTTCAGTGCCTGGGTTTAGCTCAGAGGTTCCGACACCTGCCTTGTAAGCACAAGTTCCCGAATTCAATCACTGGTACCAAAAAACAAAACAAAACAAACAACAAACAAACAAAAAACTCAGATTCTCACGCTAAAATGTTAATCTCCTTTGATTTTGTCAGAGACCAAGGTTTGAAGGGAGTTCTGTAAGAGCCCTTCTGTGAAAAGAGAACAGTTTCAGTGATAGCAGAAATACATTTTTTGTTTTTAATGACAACTTCCACAAGGTCTAGGAAAAAGGAATATATTAGAGATAACTATTGTATTTCTTATATCTAATATAATTTTCCCTAAGAAGGAGATGGTGATTAAATAACCCTTGTTAAGGGTTCCATGTCAAAGGCCAGCCCATCCCCCTGCTGATTAAGCGTCTCATACAATAAAAATCCACAAAACGGGGTCCCGTCTTGAGGTTTGCTTCCGTGGACTCCTTTTTCCCACCAAAACATTTCTTCCTCTGTAAGTAGAGGAAGGGTCGAAAAAGTCTTTCATTCATGTCAGCATTCCCAGGAATACAACAGTATTCTAGAAAATTAGAATCAGGCAGTATTATATCCAGAAACAGATCTCAAGCCTTGTGGTATCTAGGCAGAATATGAAATCGAGTGCCCAAGTGAAATTAAGTTTGGAGAATTACTGATGCCTAAAGGATGCTTAGTAAATATTTGTTGAAGTTAAATGAGTAGGTATGGTAACCTGTCTCCAAAGTTCTTGCTTTTACCTACATTCAGTAATGCCTGCTGTTTTTATTTGTTTATTTTATTTTATTGTATTTTGAGACAGGGTCTTGCTATGCAGTTCAGGCTGGCCTTGAATTCACCATGTATCCCAGGCTGACCTGGACTCGGGGGGACCCTGCTGCTCAGCCTCCCTCTTGCTGGAATTATAGGTGTATAGCACCATGCCCCACTCGGTAATGCCTATTCTAAAGAGACTATTCCTATGAAATTATCCAACAATATACAATCAAAAATGTGTTCAACCAAAGAAGAGATGATACGCCAAGTATGTTATGAAGCTGATAACTCATTGCCTGGACATCAACTAAGCCAGTGTTTGAATCTACAAACAACTGTGAAGCTGAGGGCAGAAAAAAGCAGCAAACACAGCTGCTTGGGCCTGGCTGCAGCACCCCCCGCATGTTGTGAAACAGCTGTGTGTAGTTGTGTGCATTTAACTGGAAATACGTGTATGAAAGAGAAAACAGACTCACCAGAAAGAAAATCCTTGAGCGAGAAAAGGAGAAATGTTGAAAGGACACAAAGCTTTATCTGGTCTTGAAGTAGTCTAGGACTTTGGAATGGAATGTAATTTGCTTAGAATCTAGAGGGCTGGCCCATGCCCCAAAACTCTGCCTTGCCTTCCACATTTTGTAAACAAAGCTTTATTGAAAACTGCCTACGCATTAATTTAGTGACTGTCTACAGTTTCAACAAAGTAGAAGAAGTCATAGCAGAAATCATCTGGCCCACAAACCTGCAGGTATTTATGAGCTGATCCATAACAGTAACATGTGCCCGTTCCTGCCTTAGATGAATACAAAGTCATGCGTATGTGCCTCACAGGGTGAAGCAAAGCAGCGGATTCCTGAACCTATCTGGGAATCTTCTTACAGGGTGAGGTGAAGTGAGGTGGGGATCAGGGTCAGACCTAGGGCTTTGGAGACAGATAGGCCTCAAATGACACGGGAATTTTGGCCCTGTACTATTGAGATCTATAATTATCAGTAAGCCATTCATTCTATGCTTACAAAATGGGGATGCAAAATGAAGACAGAAAGAAAGCTGAGAGTCCCATGTCTATTTTGGGAAAACTAATCAATAATAGCTTTCCCATCTGATTTCCATATTCAGGGAAGCTAGCAATTTCATTAGAAAGGAATTGTTTTTGTTAATTCATAACATTCAGAGCATCCAAAGAATTCTATCTTGTTCCTATTAGCACTGTTTCTCTTTTTTTGAGACAGAGTCTCACTGTGTAGTTGAGACTGACCGGGAACTCACTATGCAGCCCAGGCTGGTCTCAAACTCACAGCGATTCTCCTGCCTCATCCTCCCGAGTGCTGAGATTACAGGCATGTACCTCCACACTGGGCCCTATTAGAACTTTTGAGAGAGCTTCAATGCAAACAAACAGTGTACTTAACACAAGAGTTAGTCACTTTAAAATTGTCCTTTTTGAAATTTTCCAGCATGAACACTGAGAATTTGAATTACTCATAAGTCTTATTTAAAATTTTTTTTATGTTTGTCTATAGCAATGTCTAATACACACAAATAGCTTTCAAAATCAGAGTTTCCTTTAGTTTTAAATGTTTTCACAGATGACATTGTCACATTCTGACTGTGGTTACTCTACTATATGCCAGTACTCTGAGATCCTTAAAAGTCCTGCTGACTTTTTTGTTTCAACATTAATTTAGGGCTTCTGAAATCACAATAGTTATACCCACCCAGCACTGAAAATATACCTGAATGATAAGGTTTAAAAAAGCTGCCTTCGGGCACCTCCTAAACTGCCAGCCATTATTCCCCTCCAGCCCCTGGTCCTCTGGGAGATGACTGCTTTGCTGCTGGCCTTGTCCTGAAACTCCTGGTGTGGGTTCTTTCCTCCCATCTTCTACTGAGAACAAATGCCCTTTTGGTCTCTTCAATTCTCATATGCTCTGATTCCAAATCTGTCAGAAAATGGAAAGTTAGGGCCGGGGATTTAGCTCAGCGGTTCGGTGGCCTGCCTTGCAAGCTCAAGGACCCGAGTTCAATCCCTGGTACCCCCGCTCCCCCACCAAAAAAGAAAAAAGAAAATGGAAAGTGACACAGTAGCATAAAATGTAGGAAAAGCCAAATATAATAATGATGATGATGATAATAATAGTAATAATAATAATAATGATATTAACTGGGTTTAGTGGACAAAGCATATCCTGTGCTGCATATCCTTATCACAATTTTTGGTTTGTAAATTAATCCACATGCAAATACTACCCTGTCTCCTAATGCTATTCCAATGTTAGAATGCTGGTTCCTTGAGGATTTAGGTTCAAAGTCAAAAGTTTTCTGTCCTAGATGTTACCAATAAGCAGCCTACTTTCATTTTTTGCTCCCAGTCTGTTCATCCAATCATTTCCCAATATGCAAATAAACTTTAGCCAGTGCAGATAAAAAGGAACGAATAAAGTCAAGTGCTGTATCGGAATCAAATTGCTGAGCCTGTCCCCTGTGTTCCGTGAACGGAAGCAGAAATGTCCTCAGCAAAACCAGCCATTCCTACCCCACTGACTGATTTGAAGATTCAGTATACTAAGGTTAGTACAACTTGTATGTGCTGCTTTGTCTTGGGTTTCTAAAAGTTACGCCTATTTGAAGCATAAAAGTTCAATTTAAATAAGCTTGTGTGAAGAGTCCTTGGCAAATACAGAAATAAAACTTTGCTTAAAATTAAAGTCTGGTTTGGTGGCCTAATCACGATAAATTCTATATTTCATAAGACAATATTTCAATAATTTATTTCTTAAAATATTTCCAAGTTAGAGGAATTCCCTTCTTTGTGAAAGATCCTTGTACCAGCATTCAGTGGACGTTAGTAAGTAGTGCTCTGTATTGAAGAATGCTATTACCAGAGAGAGTCATGAGGTCCCTTTGGAGGAGAAGATTACAGCCACATTGTGATGAATAAAAACAGTAAGATCATTTTTTTGAGGTTGGTTTAGAGAATTTCAGATCCAGAAGGGCTACTGTTGTCACTATTCCAAAACAGGCTGGCAGCTCTTGCTCATTATGGCCAGTTTCCAGCTCAAATTTCCTACCAGTTATGGTGTAGGAGGCCCTCGGTCCAGGTTTAGATTTCCAGGGAGATTTTATTTTTTTTTAGAAACATGTAAGTTAAAGTATTGTCCTACAGAAAGATTTAATGTAGACATGAGTAGATGTGCTTGTTTTAGTTTTTGAGAAGCCTGCTGAGAGTTTCTTTCCCAAACTAAAATATAAGTGTTAGATTTTTGAGGGACTTGATTAACAGATAAAGGAGTTTTGCTCTCTTACCAAAACCTGGACTCTCTCACTACATGACAATTTATCAATGGACTAATTAAACGGCCTTTTACAAAAGGATCTATTTTCTAAGGCTTCTAAAGTACTAAATGAATTTAGTGGAATAATGCCCTCACTTAAAATGTTGCCTGGCACAAGGGAAGTGGATGATGAACATTAGCGATCCTAGTCCAAAATATTTTCCTGAAGCTTTTCCAGTTTTCTTTAGAAATTTCTTTAACCTACCTTTTCCTGGACCCGGTTCCCACGAGTACTCTCCCCATCCCCTGTTCTCCCGGGCCCCTCTCTCTCACGCACAGTCGTGTCTCACCTGACAAAACTTGCACTGGAGAGAAGTCCCCAGGCTTATTGAGGATTTCAGGGTTCAAGAATTTTCTCTGTCAGGGTTTGGTAACTTTGCCTTCATCTTCTTTTCACGGTGCTGTTTTTACTTTAGGGAAAAAAAGACAAAAAGGAAATTCAAGACACTCAAATCCTAAAAATCCATGTGATTATTAAATTTAACTCATTGAATAACACTCTGCTTGGGCCAGAAAATAAAGAATCCATCAACTAATGACATTTCACACACACATATACACAGAGAAATTACTTATAGCTAGGATTTGTGGGTTTACTATGCCAGAGACTGTTTAAGTTCTTTATAATGATTTCGCTGACTCCCTCACAGCAGCCCTATGGGGTGTTACTGTTTCCTTTTCAATTAGGAAGAAACTGAGGAACAGAGGAACACAGGCCATAGCAAAAGTAAACTTCATGCTGGCAGTCAGAGCCTTCATAGTGAGCAACGATTTGACTAATATCAACGCCAACTATTTTGGCTTGTGGAATTCCCTGATTTTGTTCATTTTTATTCTGACTTTCATTTTCCCATTTGGATAATCCCGTTATTGGATAAGGCATGACTGAGCATTCCCAGCTGCTGCTTGGTGACTCGCAGACCAATAGAAGGGCGTTTGTCATCTGTTTGGAAAAAACAGGAGAATAATAGGGAAGGTTGAAAGGAGCCAGGGTTTCTGCTTTCGATGGGAGGTGGTGAGAGAATGTGACTCAAAAGATGGAAAATTTCTATGTGTGCTATATTTCTTCAACTCCTGGGGATTAAATTTTGGTTTGACTAAGCCATTGCCTTCCTAGATTTCTGTTTTGCTCAACAACTCTATTTAAAATGTGTTTTTCCATAGAGAAAAGTTGCTCACCAAATTGTGTCAGCCACAATTTGTACTGTTGACTTTTTTTCCACCCACCATTCTTTTTCTTTCAATCAATTAATTTATTGGTATATTTAAGGTATACAGTGTAATGACATTCATCATTGGAAATTTGCACCTTCACATAATTCAGCTTTTTTTTTTGTCATTGAATTTATTGGTACTTTTTTGGTGCACAGTCCAAATGCATTCATCATTGGGATCTTGTACCTTTACATGACAGGTCTTGGTTCTCATTTTTCTCCCATACCCCTACCCTTTCTTCACCTTCTCCTCCCTTCCCTATTTACAAAACTTTACCCACCATTCTTTTTAAATTCTTACAATAGATAAATTCAGGCCAGGTGAATTTTCAAATACCTTCCTTTCACTTATTTCTCCCATTTCCCACTTTTCTGCTTTCCTTTATTTAGTTAAGTTGGTGAGTGAATGCTGTGTACTAGGCATTATGCCACGTGAATGCTAATTAGATTCTTGACTCCCGGAAGTTTAATTCCTAGGAGATATGTACCACAGTAAACTAGCCAGTGAGGGAATGCTTTATTCTCAAGTTATGGTAAGTGCTAAATGACAAAAAGGAAGCTGAGGAAATATGACAGGGAGGAGCTCCCGTTTGCTAGTTTTGGTAGGAAGAACTCTGTTAAGTAAAGGGCATCTGAGGTAAGCCTGAGGGATGCAGAGAGTCAGGGGACCAGGGAGAGTGAAGAAAAGCAAAGACACAGGGTAACAGACCGTACAAGGCCATGCACACAGTTCTGGGGATATAGCTCAGTGGCACTGCACCTGCCTGGCAAGCACAAGGTTTTGAGTTCCATCCCAGGAAAAAGAAAGAAGAAAAAAGACCGTGTTGCTGACAGTGGATTGCTGAGTTTGAGGAATTGTCAAAAGGCTTATAAGGCTGATGTAAAGTGAAACAGAGCAGGCATGTGTGAGAGGAGGGTGGAGTTGCATGCAGGGGTCCTGTTAGCTCATGGAGTCTATTTGAGGGAACCGCTTTGGGGAGCGTACAACAGGACAGGCCTGAAGTTCTCAACAAAACTGAGCACGCTGTGGCATTGCTTTCATCTGAGAGATCTTTTTAAACTTCTGACTGTAGCAACATTTTGTCTGGGGCCTGCAAGCAGTTGAACAAGTGACAGAATGTCTATGGGACAGTGGTTTAACGAGATAAAACTAACTTCAATTTCCAGTTCTTTTACCTGTTGAATGCCATTACCTGGGCAAGGCTTCTAATCTCCTTCAGCATCAGGTCCCCTTCTATGAAGTGGGAATAATAATGACTGATTTGGAAAGTGGTTGGGAGAATTAAGTCAAATAAATCATGAAAAGTACCTGGAACTTATTAACTGGTGGGTCCCTTCTTGAATTCTCCTTCCTAACATGACTCCTAGAATTCTAAATTATTCAGGTCCTAGGGTTAGTAGACTCAGTGCTTGTATCACTTGCTGCAGTTCACAACTGATTCCATCTACTTATCGCATGTGAGGCTCATAAGTAACTATGAGAAGGAGCTGAAAATACACGACTGGAGGTCTGTCTCATTTCGAAGCTCAAGAGGCTCCAGTATGTTGTTAAGATAGTTCCATTGTATTATCTGGCTAATCTCTTACTTTGCCTAATGTATAAACTAGATGTTATCACAGTATGGAGAGAAACAGTAGAAGGAGGGTTCAGTAGTGCCAGTGAGTTCTGGCATCCATGGGGGACTGCAACATTTCCTGGCAGATAAGTGTGGGCTACTATAATCACATCAACCTGGGTTTCACGACACTACTATATTTTAAGTTTTTCTGTGTGTTTATGAAGGTATTAAAAGTTCACTCAAACTCAGCTGCACTGTGTGGAAGGTATGTAAAATGGTGCTAATACATATATACATATATTTTTTTTTCTGGTACTGGGGTTTGAACTCAGGGCCTTGAGATTGCCAGGCAGGCACACTCCTGCCGAGCCACATCCCCAGAAAATATTTGACTTTCTTATATCTGAACTTGATTCATTATAATATTAGAGTTAAAAATCTGCACAAAGGTCACAGCTGTCATGCCTGAACGGATAACTCTGCCACCCTAAGTTCCATTGTCAGACTATTTCCCCTGAACTTCCAACATTTTTTAGAATTTGAAGAAATATGAATAAACAACTGACTGATGCTCTACATCTGGTATTTTCTCTAGAAGGAAACAGAATTACATACAAACAATAGTAGCATTGAATCAAAATGCTGCTAAGTGGGTACTGGATTTTCAAGTCTTTACAGCTTAATTCCTCAGTGCATGTCATCTCCATCATGCACAGAAGTGACTGACAAGTTCTGTTGATATCTGAGCACCCAGTGACAGAATGACTCAAAGGAAATGTGGTCTTTTTTTCCCCCTTTGGTTAAACCAAAAAGGCTGAAGGACATTTTAAATACAGAGAAGAGAGTATATACTCATATTATCGAACTCAGACTATAATAAAAAACAGAAATGAAAGGAAAATTGTGTCTCTGCTATTTTTGTTTTAGCCATTCTCTCATTTGTTTTTATTCCTCTGACTACTGTTAAATATTTTTCTTTCCTCTATTATTTCCTTTTATGTTTTTCTTCTTTAAAGAGTTTTGTTTTTCATAAATTTTATTTTATTTTATTTTATTTCATTTCACTCCCCCCTTCAGCCACCTCCCCTTGCTGTGTACAAAAGCTGTTTCCATTTTTCCTTCTATTTTCACTTTCATTCTTGTGGCTTCCTTTCTCCCTCCCTCCATTTTTATTTGTATTTATCAAAGACAATATGATGCATCTCTTTAAGTCTAACAGCTAAAATTAAAAGAGGGAAAACCAATTTTAAATTATCTTGACATTTCCATTGCTTGTTTCTCCAAATAAAATAAAACACTTGAATTCTAAGAGTATGCATAGACATCCATAATTTCTAATCAATACTGTGAAGTTATAGTTGATGTATACTATATAAATACATTGCTCCAACTATCCTGAGTCTAAGATTCATAATTAGGATGTACTTAACATATGGTTCAATAGGACCCAAGAATATTTTGC